GCTTTGCTTTTGTGTTTCTTTTTGGTATGGATTTTAGGTGAGACAGTGTTTATTGATGGATTATTTATCAATTTCTAAGATTGGTGGCTTAGTGAATTCTTCAACCCCTTCTTTTATTGCTTTGCCTAACTTGCTTGTTCTCATCAATGTAATCCCCCCCCAAATTTTTTTGTAACCCTGTTTTTATAAATAAAAATGAAAAAAAAAAGATTTTTCTTTTGTAAATGTTCATCTAGTAATTAACTGTTCGATTACACAGTAAACCCCACGGTGCTGTATATTTTATGTTTTCTTTTCCAGAAACTTTCCATTTTCATTGTATATTGAACAAAATAAATTCATTAAAAAGCTACTTGTCTGTTTTGTTGAATTGATCCAAGAATGCATTAATTGTTACAGTTGAATCAAGCTGGATATGCCAATTGATTCTTTTAAGATGGCGAACAAGAATAGAATGTATGATGAAATCAAAGATCATTTATTTTATATATGAAATGCTTATATTTATCTCTTTCTTTTATGTCATTGTTTTTATATGCTTTCTAGTTCATGCCGATTGTTGTATAATTGTCTTTCGAATTTGTTTCTGTTAGTTGTCTCTGAAGTTTAACTTGATCGTAACAACTAGCTCCTAATGATCTTTATTCTTTCTGTCTTGTTCTCCGGGGCAGACAAATTTTGTTAATCGGTTGAGCTAAATAATATTCGGTATAATAGCAGAACAGAGCTTGATTGGTTCTTTTATATGCTTCATTCATCTTGCTGTCGGTTTTATACATGTATCTGGTCTACGATGGAGGATGGACTAATATAGCTTTGGTTGGTTTCCAGGACTATCTGTTTTCTTAACTTGGATTCACTTCTACATATTTGATGGACGGGGAGAGTATCAGTTCACCAGTGGCACTAGATATTTCCGGGCCTGGAAGTTCGAGAAGAAAATCCTTGGCGGGAGCAGATTCAGTGAGCGGCAGAGAGAAGACACTTCCTCGTTATCTGAGAGCTTCTACGCTTCGTGTCATGATTTCTGCAAATATGGAAAGAAACATGAATCTGACGAGAATGCTATACATCCCTTCCGGAAGAGGAATATCAAAAAGCCGTCTGGTGACCCAAATTTATTTCGGAGCTTAGATTTACAGCAGAGGAAGAAGAAAACCGCTACTGAATCCAGGTCTTTCTCCAATTCCCGATCTCGTACCCCTGATATGCCTAAGGCCATGGAGCTTCAGCTTTCCAACGGCTCTCCTGATGGAAATAATTCTACGACTCATGGTGTTTTGTCAGAGAAAGAAAAGACATCAGTGGCAAAGCTTAAGCCCACCAATCATTCACCCAATTCCAGTGGTCGCCGTCATACGTCCAGTGTCCTCAAGCTAGAAGTGTCAACAAATTCTCCGGACAACCAAACTTCTAAGAAATATGGAATACTGTCTAAGGAAGAAAAGGCATCAACGGCAAAGCTTAGATCTTCACCCAATTGAAATCAAGCTTATCCGATGCCCCAAAAGTCACGCAGAGGGGTGGGTCACCATCTTCTAAGAAAGAAGGAGTCTCTTCAAAAGAAGTCTCTCTGAAAGCTAAAGAGAAGAGCTTTTCTAAATTGCACGGTACTTCGAAGCTGAAATTTCAGGCAGAAGCGCTTCCTTCAGCTTCCTTCCCGTCAGAATGTTCAAGTGTTAAGAGGAGCAATGGAGTTAGTGATATGAAGACTGGAAAAAGGAAAAATACCGCCAAAGTAGCTGTAAAGAAAGCATTATTATCATCATCGAGAGCTTCATTGTCTCCAAGAGCTTCTCTTGCTAGAGCTACGAGCCTAACTGCAAGAAAGAACCGGAACCTAAAAGTAGTGCCTCTACAGAAGAATCAGAACAAGGTTGAAAAGGCTGAAACTGAGCAACCTCTCGATGAACATGAGGTACGCAATAATGATGCACTTGAAGAGAAAACCCTTTATGTTATCAAAATGGAGTCGGAAAATATATTGTTGGAATCTGATAAAAATGAAAATTGTGCTGCTGAATTGTCTCCACCCATTACTTCATCTCCCAAGGCATCGAGTCTCCCAATGTCTCCACCTTTGTCATCACATGGCACTAGGGATGAAGATGAGTCTGAGTATACGGATGACTCAGGCTCTGAATACTACGAAGATGAAACTGTAAACACAGAAGAAGTGGAAATTTTGGAAGGAGAAAATGGCGGAAGGCCCAGAAATTCTGAGATGGTAATCTCTGATGGAAAGGATTGTCAACCTGTGAAATTATCTTTTAGGAGAGGAAAGGTCGTTGAAATTCAATCTGAGAATAATGGTCCAAGGAGGCTCAAGTTCAGGAGAGGAAGATTGCTTGGGGGAAACCAAAATGCTAAGGGCGAGCGGAGAACCTTTAGGACAAGAGAACGTGATGGTTCCATGAATGACAACCAACCCGGTGGGGAAAAAGTAGTTGAAAAAGTAGTTTTGAGACACCAAGATTTGCAGGGTAAGAAAGACGAAAAGGGTTTGTTTAACAATGTCATCGAAGAAACTGCTAGTAAACTCGTTGAAACCCGAAAAAGTAAGGTTAAGGCCTTGGTTGGCGCGTTTGAAACCGTCATCTCCCTCCAAGACACCAAACCTTCTGCAAACAGTTCCACTTGAGCTTGTGATAAACCATTTCCTTAAACAGTTGGTTCATAGGAAAGTGATAGGAGAATAAACCTAAGCTTTCGAGAGGTAACTATGGGTTTACACAGCTGTGGCAGTCTAAAAGTAGATTTTACCATTATGACTTGAGCAATCTCGGATCCTGTTTTGAAATCGAGATCCCGTGTGTACTGATATCGACACGCTTCACGTACAGTCTTGCGATGGGTATGCTTCTTCGTTTTTTTTTATGAGGTTATAATGTGATTATTTTCTATCATGTGAATAAAGCAATATACTCATGACTTTCATGTTACATTTAGGAGATAACGAGGATGTCTGGTAACTGCAATTTACGTTTTGTGTCGTGTTTTAAAGTGGCATATTTGCGGTGTTTTTCTCTCATCACTCGTTCTGTTTTGGCTGGTTGATCGTGTATTGTGTTCATTGTTGGTTATAACTGGTTTATCATGTAATGTGTTCATTGTTGGTTATCATGTATCCCCATATCAATATATCCCTTTATCCTTCAAATGTTTAGAAATGCCAGGTACACCCAATATTTCACATTTGCACTGATGCTAATAACATAGCTGTGCATAACTTGTCACTTTTTTATTTGCTAAATTTTAGTTAAATTTGTAATACTTGTTATATGAATAATACCTCATATATTATTCAATGCATAATACAAGTTTTTTATATACATTAGTTAAAGAAAATCCTTAACTAACTAACCAACTGATAATATAATGAAGTGTTGATCCCCTCAAGTTGGAGGTTGAAAAATATTTTTCATCCTCAACTTGAATGTCAAATTGTTGTGTTGCTCAACTCCGAGTTCCTTGGTCAAAATATCTATCCGTTGTTCGATCGAGCTCATATGTTTAGTTTTGATCAAACTTTGTATCTTTTTAGTTTTGATCAAACTTTGTATCTTTTCTATAATGAAGTAACAATCTATCTCAATATATTTTGTTCTTTCATGATAAACAAGATTTGCAGCTATTTGCAATGTTGCTTTGTTATCACCATGCAATATAGCTGGCTGCTCAAATTTTACTTCAGGTTCTTGCAAGAGGCCTTTTAACCGAACTATTTTTGCTGTTGTAACCGACCAGCTTCTGTATTCAGCCTCTGCTGAAGACCTTGCAACAATATTATACTTTTTGGACTCCAAGAGTTTAAAGATTCCCCTAATTTAATCTCTTATGTGATATTGAATTGCATATGTACAAAAGCTTACCAATTAATCTCTTATGTGATATTGAATTGCATATGTACAAAAGCTTAACAATTAATCTCTTATGTTTTGATTTATCCTTCAGCAATCATTTTCAAAATGTTAATTGTAATATTGATCGACGCTGGACCACGAAAGACATCACATTTGGTGAAGTAATAAATTGACCGCCAACCATGATTGAGCATACGGAAAGGTGCTAGCTGAAGAAGAATATATTAAAAAACGGATAAATTGAAAATTTATCTCTAAACTACTTTCGGTTTACAAAAAGTTAATAAATTGGAATTTTATCTAAAATTCAGAGGTTAAAAAAATTAAACTCTTTTACAAACGTCATGTCATGTCATCAAACTAACAACGTTTAATGTTACGGTGATCAAAATTTAATAAAACGATAACGTAAGTGATCAAAATATAACTTTTTAGAATTTGGTGAGCAAAAATGTACAACCATAATAGGTATGTGACCATTCTGATAGTTTACCCTTTAAAGAAACAACAAATTACTACGGTGTTTTTTAAATAAAAACAAAGAAATGATGTTATACATATTATTATTATCATTCAAACCACTTGTAAAACTAAAGTTATTTTCTTTTATTAATCTAGACGGTCGTATCTTTGAAATTTATGATGTTCAAATCTGAAATATTAAAAGTTAACCCTTTCTTTTATTTTTAAGAGTGCAACAAAATTATTTTTTAAATGAGGTACAATGAAAAATGGGAGTAACCAATCAGTAGATGCCACTAAACAAAAAAATCCATCGATTAAATTCCAAGAAATTCTATATTTCCGCGTGTCAAAACTTAAGTGGTTAAGAATCTTTCTGTGGATAGTATACTCGTCTGTCATTTTACATTTTTTAAGTCCCGACACAAAATTTCAAACATTTAACAGTAAAAACTAAGGACTGAATTTTCAAAACCCCGAAGGTCTGCTTTAAAAATAACCTCCAATGGGTTCTCGCCACGTGGTGAAAAGGGTCCAGCTAAAACTACTTAGACTCCTAGGTCACACGTGTGACAATATAATTAGTCGTTGATGTGTGAAAGAAAGCGTTGTCGTACGATTAATTTTTCTGAAAAATATTTAATATTTGTCTTTCTGCCACATAAAACCCCAAAACTTCTTCTTCAGTCTTCTCTCATCACCGTTTCTCTGCAATTTGTATTATTTTGGGGATTTTTTTTTCGGTTGCAAGAAAGAGATTTTGTATTTTACGGAAATGCCCTTCTGCTTACGTTAAAACCCAGTTTCAATTCTTCGTGTAAACGTTTCAACAATGATTTGACAGTTTTTTTCCTTTTTTTTCTAGGACTGAGTTTTGTAGGCAGGTGCAGGAAATCCCTAATATTTTTGTTAATTATCTTACGTTTTTGCAGAGTATTTTTGTCTATTTAAAGGTCTAAAGACTATGTAAAGATAGATTCGTCCAGGTGAAGGTGAGAGATTTGTCTTTGATCTCTAAATCTTTGTATTTTTGCTTAACTTTTGGTTAATTTGTAATGGATTTATTTATTGAAAGGGGGGGGGGTTCAATTTATAATGTGGATTTTGGAAATTTTAGTGCACAAGTGAAGTGGGTTTTTTTTTTTTGGATTACGCATTTGAGTTGAATTTGTAGAATGCATTTTTTTTAAATGTTTTCTTTTGATCTGAGCTTTGATAAATTTAATAGCATGCATTGGTCGAATAAATCAAGTTCTTTGTATTTTACCTTTTTGATCTAAGAATCTAAGTTAAGTTTGAGAATAAAATTAACTATGATATAAAGTAAACGACTGCTTTGGCCAATATGGAAAGATGACCAAATGTATTGATTGTTTGTGCATTATGAGCAATTTTGATGTCTAAATGGAAAATTTAATTTACTAAAAGCATGATTCTTCATTCTATTTATTGTCCGAAAATTCATTCCAATTCTTAGATGGTACATTGCATATCTGTGTTTCAGGTTTCCCCACCCTTTGATAGGACCTCAAACTAGCATATTAAGACTTTCTTCTATTGGAGGATCTGACACCGATTTTGAGGTACATTTGACATGTATTTAAGATTAGATATTTATTCAACCATGGCTGAAGTCTATCTCTTAGAGTTCTCTAGGATGCTGTTATGGTATCTTTGCCGACAAAGCGAAAGAACTTGGAGTTAAAATGTAATTTAATCCACCATATTGCAGATTATGGATCATACTCGGACATCTCACTTTTTATTTGTGTGAAAGTATAATTTTCATTTAAAATCAAAATTGAGAGCCAGCAGTTGATCCACTCCCCTGAGTTTCCTGGGAATTGCTGCCTGAGCTGCCTGCTAGAATTTGTATTAAGGCATGAGTTTGCAGTGAAACCTTAGCTCTTCTTTGCTTGGTTTTGTCCCAGAAAAATAATTTAGGCTTTGAGCTGTTAGTTTTCAAGTCATTCATTTTTTGCTCTTTCATTATGCTGTTAATTTTTCCATCCCTGAATGTTTATGCCAATTCTTCTGGTTCATAAACTTGATATTGATATTCAAGTTCAGGCTACTGAAAAATGGTGTGTAATTATGATGTTTTGTTGTTTTGTTTAACCAGGATATAGGATCATTGTTTCTTTTTGCTTGTGGGGATAATGATCCTGACAAAACAGTATCGTTGCATACACTCATCTAGTTGTCAATGCACAAAGGGTCATCTAAGTGAAGATGTGATTTTCTTAGTGTTTCAACAACTCAACTGGAATCCGAAGTTGATTGCCACTCTTTCATTAGTATGCAAATGGTTCGATGATCTTGCCAAGAGAGTACTTTGGAAAGAATTCTGCAAAACGAGGGCCCCAAAGATGATGCTTGATCTGCAGTCTAGTGGAAGTCACAGTGTTGATGGGAACTGGAGAGCACTTGGAAAACTGCTTATCTATTGTTCGGGTTGTAGTGGCGGTCGCTTGTTCAACAGTGTTCAAATACCTGGCCATTTTGTTTACAGGACCAGGTTCTCAAGGACTTCAGGCAAGAGCTTCCTTTTACCACAATGCAGGACTGATATTTTATATGTGTCTGACCCATGTGAACATCTGGACCAAGGGGAAGAGGGTGATATGGGATTTTTTAGAGGAGTTTTCAAGTCATTCTTGGTTTCAAAGGTTCGGAAGAGGTTGATTGACAGGGCAGCAAAGCTTCATCCAACAGCTGTGTGCCCTTATTGTAAGGCAAAGTTGTGGGACATGCTGCAAGCAAAAATGATTCCACAAAGTGCAAGCTGTAGGCTGGGTGCCTATGAGGATTGCATCGAGTATTACGTGTGTCTTAATGGACATATGCTTGGCATCTGCACCCTATTACCGTTGTCTGATTCTGAAGAGGCATCTGGATCGGAGTGAGTGATTGAATGCAAACCAGGTAATATCATGCAGCAAGAATTCATATTTTAACAAAAAGGAACTGGGTTAAAACTCTTGAGGAAAATGGCAATGATTGTGTGCGGTTAGTTCAAAACACAAATTGCTCATTGGAAGACCCGTTCGTTCTTGGTTGCAAGCCTATACCCCATAGGCAGACATTTGCAGTAACTTTTTTAGTTTGTCATCCATAGTGCTACGTGCATCTTTTTTTTACTCCATGCTAAAATCCCATTAACTATCCGTTCTCATATAACGAGCAATGCATATGGTGTAGGTTAATAATCTATAATTAGGAGTTTATGTGAGTTCTTAGCTGAAAAAATACGCCTATATCCGACTAAATGTATATCGTGTTCTTTGCAGTTTGTTTGCCATCTCATGTGTGGACTGATCTCCCGGTGGATCAGATATAGATAGAGGGGAGACAAGATGGACTGTACTAACTTATCTCTGGACCTGAAATCAACCATCATAACTCGGCGTCTTCTCTCTAGTGCTTTGCTACTTTGTCTACAGTACTCACCGAGTGTTTTCTAGAAAGGTTAGAAGCTATAGTTAACCATTTTTGCTTATTTCAATTGTCCAATGGTTCGACAGTGGTCAGTGTGAAACATGTAATACCTGTACTTTGTACATTTATCATGTATGGCTCATATGTGTTTGCATAGCTGATTGGCATCTCCGATGATTCATGAAGTAGTAGTTTAGATCATTCATCCCCTTGTTTGTTTACCTACTTTTCAAAAGAAATTCATCCTGATTTTGAAGGTTGTACTCCACAGAACTTTGAAAAAGGGTATTTCCGAATCCGATTTTCGACGAGTTCCTTGTTCCTATTACATTCATTCACCGTCTTTCCGTAGACCTTTGAAAATGGTGTCTCTGAATCCAGGTCTTTGAAGAGTTCATTGTTCCTGTTGTATTTCCAGCACCTTGTGCTTTCTCTCCTGCCAAAATGCTTTGTTGCAGATGGGTGACTAGATGGGGATGGGATGATTAATTATCAATGCATTTATTATTATTATTATTATTATTATTTTTATAATAATATATTTATAATATATATAAACAATAAGTTAGTTAACCAATCAAACTCACCGATATTCAATAGGTTTGGTTATATTATTTTAGATCACAAAGATCGATCAGATAGATAATTGTTGGATAAAAATACAAATCGAGTCAATTAGTTTAACTTATTCACCTTTAATTGAGTTGAATTACTCAAACTTATGGTCTGTTTGTTTGGCTGTAATTGGTTATTTAAAAAATGAATTATTGGAATTTGAATTACTGGAACTGAAAAATGAATTACTGGAATTTGAATTCTAGAAAATGAATTACATTTCTGGAAAATATTTTTCGGAAAATGTTTTCCGTAAAATGAATTACATTTTTCTGAAAAACATCTGGAAAACATTTTATGATGTCTGGAAGATGTTATTTAAACCCTTTTCCACTAGTTGAAGAGTTTTTTTAAAATTATTTATTATAAATATTAAATGTAATAAATAATATTATTTATCATAAAACTTAATATTATTATTTTAAAATATTAAAATAATTTATTTATTATTAAATATTATTTTTATAATTTTATTAATAAAAATAATAATTTTTGTATATTTTAGTGAAATAAAATATTATAAATTATATTAATTATTTATTAAAGTAATAGTGTTATATTATATTTTAAACATATTAATTAGTATATTTTAAATATCTTTATTAAAATATTATTTAAATATATAAATAATATTATTCATTATTAAATATATAAATTTTTTATTATATATTATTAAAATAAAAATATAATATCTTATATTATTATAATATAATTGATTATTTTATATAATATTAAAAATATTATATTATATTATTATAAATATTAATAAATAAATAAATAATATTTTGATGAAAATGATATTAAAATATTTTATTAATATTAAATTCATAAAATAAAATTATTTTGAGTATTTATTCTTTGAAGTGGAAAGTTCAGAAAATGACTTATGTACAGAAAACACAAAGGAAATTATGTTACTAGGAAAATGAATTACATTCTGGAAAACCAATTACGTTAAACAAACATGGGAAAACATTTTCCGGAAAAAGAATTACGTGAAACAAACACGGAAAAATATTTTCTGGAAAACGAATTACGTAAAACAAACACGAAAATTTAAGGAAAATCAATTCCGTAATTCCAATTACAGTAAACAAACACACCCTTAAGGTTAGTCTTATATGTTTTAGAAAATATTAAATTCAAAAATAAATTATATATATATATAAAATGAAAACCTCGAGTTAACAAAATTAAATAAAATACAAATGACATTAATAATATACATGAATTCAAGTCAGAGTCTAGTCTCAATTATCTTCTTGGGTTCTTGCTCATTTCTTTTATTATTTCTTTTGAATTACACATAAATTCTTCACATCCACCCCCCATTCTGACATGTCCGCTACGGGTGGGGCGGGTGCGGATATCCCCTCCCCCATCTTCATACTCACATAATATTTTTTAATTCATCATCCGCCTACTACCTATGATGGGTATAAATTTTTAAATCCACACTCGTCCACGCAGGTACATTTTCAAATTCATCCCCACACCCACTACCCACTAGCGACATACCCATCTAGACCCGCCTGACAGCAAACTAATGGGATGTTGGACTTGATTCTCAGACAGTTCGTGATGGGGTAGCAGCGCATGCTTCAATTTGTCAGAAGAATAGCTCTACGAATGTTATGGAGACAGATTATAGGGAGCATGTAGTCGTAGAGCTGGATTGTTGTGTTGCTTTCGATGTTAATGCTGATAGTGCGCCTAATATGAGTTTTGAGGGGATAAAGAACATGGAAACTGCTGCTTTTGATGTTAATGCTTATAGTATGACTAATTTGTGTTTTGATGGGCAGCATGAGCTAAAGAATATGGAAAGTGACTTGGTTAGTGGGATTATGGGTTTAATCAAAGAGCCGAATATTTCTTTAATTAAAGACCAGATTAAAGACTAAATATCATTAATATTTGGATAAATTATATGTTATATATTATACAATATTAAAATTTATAAATTAGTCTCTAAAATTACACCTAAATTTATAATGATCCAAAATTTAATAGATATTTAGCTGGGTGGGTGGATGTGGGGTGGGCGGATGCGGGGCGGTAATGTCTCAAACCCATTACCCGCCCACCACCCACAACGGGTACTACTTTATAAATCCACACCCGCCTATTACCCGCTAAAATTATACCCATCCCCACTCCAATTAAAACGAATGTAATACAAAATCCACGAAACTGTACTCGTTTACATCCTAAAGTCCGCTGTGTTTTATGAGAGAATATAATGATGATGTATAGCAATCTGGCCTGTGTTTCATTCAAACTTTAGGTCCATTGAATCTTTGAAAATTGCGTTAACAGAAAAGAAAGAAAAGAAAAGCTTTGGACATATAAGTGGATCACACCTGCTGCATCTGAAAACAAAGCAATGATATGACAACCTACACTTTTGACTGCTCCATTTCACACCATTCAAACGGATGGTGTGTTACTTGTACATCACAAAACAATATGGAACATCTTTGAATGTATTTATTGATATCAAAAAAATTAATCAACATCGATTATCGATGGTTTATCTTTTTTAATTTAGACAGAAAGCTGTGATTAAAAATTTAAACGGTGATCAAACAGTTACGTAGAAAATAAGATATGGAGGCAAAGCACCAGAAAGAATGCTCATGAACTCTCAAATGACTTTCTTTATGTTTATATATTGACTCGCTGTTTATTCTCTTGTCCGTTAAATATATTGATTTTGATTTGTCAAGGTTAAATCATGAATTCGATCAGGTCAGCAACAGTCAAATATATCTATTGTCTTCTAAAATACTTTGAGATTCGGATATCGAGAATTATCCTTTATTATTGTCGGAACGTCTTTCGGTTGGGGCCCGAAATCGGGCTTCGACTTGGATTAAAAAATGATTTGGAGTCGCCACGACCATTTTAAAATGAATTTAGGTGGGTCGGACACCATCTTACCTGATCTGCGTTATACCAGAAATGTGTCGGGTTCGGGAGTCGGTTACGGTCAAGGAAGGATTAGCACCCTTGAACCGCCCTTTCGGTACCAATTAATTTGTCGGATGCCTTTAATTGCAAAAATTGAAATTTAAATTTCAATTAACCTAATTCAAATTATTTACCTTCGATTGAAAAAAAATCCCCTAAAAAGTCAACAATATTGTTAGATTGTAAAATAAAAATAAATGAAAAAAATAATAAAAAATATTAATATAATGATAATAAAAAATAAATAAATTAGATAAATAAAATTGAGTAAAAAAAACTAAAAAATAATAAAATATAATAAAAAACAAAATAAAAAAATGTTAAAATGAAAATCGAACACAACCAACGAAAGAACGAAAAAAATAAAAAAAATAAAAGGGACCAAAATGAATGATGTTTAAAATGGAATATCATAACAAGAATTAATCCTGAAAACTCAAAAGCATGTTACTTGCACATTACCATATATAAACGTGGTCCCCACATGAATATAATTTAAAGGGTTTTTTACCCAAAGCATTATAGGCACGTGAAGTCCATTTGGAACCCCACCAAATATGCTTGTATTCTAACACCTTCAAGACTTTGCTTCAGTCTTTGCAGATCTCATTAAGGCTTTGCTGCCGCCTTTGCCTTGGTAATTCTCTTGAGCCTCCTTTCACCTGGTATGTAATTCGAGACCAAGAATTGATGTTTTCCCACGCGTATCTGCTTGGGTGAAAACCCTTTACTCCGATGAAGCAAGCAGTGGTCGAGCCTCCTCCAAAGGTCAGTTTTATTCTTCCTTTCGAACAAATTTCTTTCTGGGTTCGAATATGGTTGGAGATTTTTCTCTCTGGTTTTTTTTTCACACTGAATGGTTTGCCTTTCAAATAGGTTCGAATACCCTATTTTTATTTTTTCCTCTTGTTTCCTGTTCAAGAACCCTTAAAAACGGTTCACTCCTCCGTATATTTCTTCCCCCGTATTTTCCAGTGTGATTTTTCGTGTGCCCCCTGTGTGTAATATGCGTGATCTCCCCCTGCTCTCGTGATTTCATCGAATATTTATAGCCTATGATTTTAGTGTTTGATTCCTATTAGAACTCTAACTCCTTACTTGTTGGTGGTTATCTTGCGTCGGGGAATACGGGGTTGTTGGAGGTGAGAAGCCTTCATTGACGCATGATTCGTTTGTTGAACCAAGATAATCGGTTGCGTGGAGCGTGAGACATGGCGACCGAGCGGCTGGGGTCTCCACGTGGCGCTGAATGAGATACGAAAGTTAGGGTTTCCAGTTCAGGTGTTCTGTTGATTTGGGTGCGTGTGTTGGGTCAGTAGAGTGTTGGCCGTTTTTCTGGGCCATCTGGTCTTGGTCCTTCATTTGCATTCGGGCCCTGTCACAAATGTAAACAAATGGATATGTAAATATGTGTGCAATATGTGTAATAAAATATATAATATAAACTATAATGTAAAAATATTATATAATTTTAAAGGACGAAATTTAGTGTCTACAGCTGTCCCTCTTTGCTCATTATCGTGTAACGAAAATAGAACAAAGATTAAAAGACACAAATTTCGTCTATATCGAATGTCCTTTGTTTGTCAA